AACTCCTGACCTTGAGCAATCCGCCCGCCTCGGCCTCCCAAGAGCTAGGATTACAGGCGTGAGCCACAGCGCCCGGCCTTAGATTACTCTTTATGCCCCAGGCTTTTAGGCAATTCTGGGTGAGACATGGAGGTGTAATTTTTATTGATCAGCAGATGTATTTAGAGACTGGCCCCAGAAACATGGAGGTTCCATAAAATACTTTTTGATTTGAAAACTGTCAGCATAACATTTACTTTTTAACACAATTGCATCATACCTGAAAATTCAATGTGTTTTAAAATTTGCTGTCTTATACAAAATCCATTACAGAGAATGAGAAGAAACAGTAAGTCTTTATTCAAAGAAGTATTATAGCTTTCCAAGATCTACCATTAAAATTAAGCATACGCTATACCAGAAAGCTTTTTTCTCTAACATTATGATTTTGTTTTCCATTTTCTATAGATAAACAGCTATTTCTCAGAGAAGTGAAATGATTAGAAGACACATGTAAACAATGTGCAAATATCTCAAAATAAAATATGCATGGGGGAAAAAAGGATTTTCAATTTTGAAATGATTAAAAAGGGGAAAGAAAGTGATTTTGGCTAACCTTTCCACTTCTGAAATGGGGTAAGGTAAAGCCCTCTTTCTCTCTCTCTCCCTTACTTACTGTCCCAGGATATCGTTGAAGTGTGGATCTAGGTCTATGTGATACTTCTTCAGATACCCATACAGCTCATCTGTACCCAGAACCTTGGCAATGCGAACAAGCTGGTCATAGTTGTCCTGTCCATGGAAGAAGGGTTCCTTTCGAAAGATCATGCTTGCTAACATACAGCCCAAACTCCACATGTCCAAGCTATAGTCATACATCTGAGAAATAAGGACAACCAGTTAGCCAAGGGTGTTAGAAACTGATCTGAATTTCTGCCTTGCATTTCATTTTTGTGTGTATATATATATATACACACACACACACATATATATATATTTTTGAGACAGAGTCTCACTTTGTTGCCCAGGCTAGAGCGAGTGCCATGGCATCAGCTTAGCTCACAGCAACCTCAAACTCCTGGGCTCAGGCGATCCTCCTGCCTTAGCCTCCCGAGTAGCTAGGACTACAGGTAAGTGCCACTATGCCTGGCTAATTTTTTCTATATATTTTTAGTTGGCCAATTAATTTCTTTCTATTTTTGGTAGAGATGGGGTCTCGCTCAGGCTGGTTTCAAACTCCTGACCTCAAGCAATCCGCCAGCCTTGGCCTCCCAGAGTGCTAGGATTATAGGCGTGAGCCACCACGCCTGTCCATTTTTGTATATATTTTAGAAATAAAGTTCCTTCCCCCTTCCATGAAAAGTGGCTGAGAAAAACTAAAATTAGCATTTTGGGGTGTAATAAATGGGTTTTCAACATATTCAAACTGACTAATAAACAGCAAACCAGAAAAAGCCCTAAGTATAAAAATAACCCAGAGCAGCTCTGCTAACAAGTATACCTGATAGTCCACAAGGAGCTCTGGTCCCTTGAAGTACCTTGAGGCTACACGAACATTGTACTCCTGAGCAGGATGATAGAACTCTGCCAGACCCC